GCGGCAAATTTCAACGATTTTTTTTTACAAAATTATAAAAAGTATTTTTCATTTGATGAAATCAAACTCAACTAATTTTTATTCGCTCAAAATTAATCATCTTTCTATATTATGTAATACCTACAACTATATTAAACACATTACACATACGCAACACGCGCATTCAATGCGGGTTCGATTTCTTATGATAAAGACAGAATTTTATTGTATGTAGTAATTAATTGAAAATTAAATTATAGCAAGGATTAGGRGGGAGGAAGGCAGCGAATGGAAAGTGCCTATAGGCGGAAAACCCTTAAATACGTACTGCACCTAGCAACTTATGATAAATGATTTATAACATTTTTAAGCCATAGACAGAACAAAAAATTGTTTTATCTTTAAATAAAGATAGATAAAAAAAATCTAAATTTTCAGATTTCTAAAAGCAATTCAAATTTCTAACTCAAAAAGGTATTTTAATATTTTAAAAATTATATTGAGTATTCAAAGTGTTAATCTTAACATTTGGTGAAAATGTCAAGTGTCTACGATTAATAGTTTTTGAGTTCTAACAAAATGAAAAATTGATTTTTAAGTACTAATAATTTATTACTTTTGAGATCCATCCCCCAAAAAACCAACTAGAATCAATTTCGTCGTAATTCATAAACAAATTAAGTGCTTGAAATTATGTACTTAATACCATTTTCTATTCATGATATAAATTTAAATATATTTTAACTTTAACTATACAAATTTCATTGCACTTGGTGGGGACCTCTCTTTTCCTCTACAAGAATTCCGATTGAATCAGTCTATTTCAACTGAAAATGCATGAGCTAACTCTTTCAGGGTGGCTAATGTAAAAATTAATTTAATGTCAAGGTTTTTGTTAGTTTTCAGCATAATTGTTCTGCATTTAAAAAAAAATATAATATTTGATTATCACTAACATGTGGCTAAAGTAATAATTAACCTAATGTTCTAATCAATGCTAGGAATCTGGCCGACTCAAGGGCTAGGCGACATAGGCTTTAGAGCGGAATTAAAACCTTTAAAAATATTGTTATTGAATTATCCTTGAGTACCTATCCTTAGAAATGTATGGGATATGGTATATTAATGTAAAATTAACCAAGAAAATAATTAAATAAGACTTTGAATTTCATTAATTAATATAATTTAGACAGAAGTGTTATTTTTTGGGGAAGAAGTGCATGGTCTATACCAGCGCATCTTAAAATATTATTTTGTCAACAATTAACGTTAATTGATACAAACCTTAAAGCTGTCAAGGCCTTCAGTTTACCAATCTAAATTGTACATACTCTGTTATTCACTATTAATCATAAATTATGTTATAATCTTGTGTTAATTGATTTTATATTTTATATCAGTAGGTATCACATTATCAGCCGGTGTGCAAATGCCAAATGGCAAATGATTTTCCGGTWGAAAATAAACATTATACTAAGGTTCATGGGCTATCATAACAGTCTATGGTTATTAATGTATTGATTAATTTATATGTGATATATGAAAGTTATGTAAGTATATTTGTTTTTAAAAATTGACCTATAGTCCAAAAAMTTGGATTCTTAAATTTTGTGCACTCCCTTAAAAAAACTGAAATGGCACACTGTACTTATAAATGGTTATAATTATTTCTTTCAAGCTCAAGAATTTTCTTCAAAATCTCAACTGTTAAAAAAAATTGTAATTTTAAAAGTTAAGCCACTCACATGAAGGAAAGCTTTATAAAATAACCTAACTAAAAGATTGTAAGTAAGGGTTAAGTAACTGTTCATAACATGTGCTTCATCGATTGGTATAAAAATAATATTTTCATTGTAGGGCCTAATTAATACAAAATTTAGAATGGTCTCCAAATTTTAAAAGAGGTTTGTAATAAAAAATGATTAATCATTATCATTATTGTTATTTATTAGTTTTGCTAGTTTCTGTTATTTATATAATTATATTTCAATACGACAATACCTCATAAACAAATTATAATTTTAAGATAGGTATTAAATCAAAATTGTTTGGACCTACTTATACAATTTTTAAAAATTACAAAATATTAAATAAATTAAAGTTGTCTACAAAATAATTTCTATCTTATTTTTAAGACTGAGTTATAAACCTATTGTTTATAGTAATTTTATCAAAAGAAATGGAAGTTATAAACGCTTCTACGGACTAAGATATATATCTTAGTGCGTGAAAGCTTCTACTTATTAACAATCAATGTTGCATCAATTGAAATACAAATACCATTCTCTAATTTACTCACATGAATATACTGTATCTTAACAGTTAAAACATATTTTACTTAATTAATTAATCATAATAATAATAAAAAAGTAAATATAGTAGAAGATTAAAATTAAATTCCTTTCTTATGCAGCTTTTCTATTGCACATTGACCACCCTGCACACGACTAYTAATTTTGTTTCATCTCTTCTTAATAGCTCCCTTGATTCTCCTACTCTTCTATCTATTATCCAATCCCGTGTTCCATACTATCCTACCAAAGACCACGCTCCTTTTTATGTTCCATCCCACTCTTTTTCTTGTGATCACAGTCACCTTATGCATTGTATGCTTCAAATTGTCCATTTTAAACTATTCATTTCTGTTAATTATTATCTAAATTATAAGTAGGTACTTAACATTGTATCTCTATACTCCTTTTCTAATTGCCCGTTGGGTATAAGTTAATTAATTAAAATAAATAAAATATAGTATATTCATAGGCGTCTGCGGGCCTCTTTTTCATGGTATTCAAAAGGCTGTCATTGGCGTGCCCTGAAAGTTATTTTAGGCATGTAAAATTCTGATAATTTATATATTTATACAATACACAAATATTGAAATTTTACTGTTTAATTAAAAAAAAATTATAACAAATACCATGACAAAATATAAAAAGTATGTATTTTGCAAATACTTGGTAATTAATAACTAATAATTGGATATTTTAATGGCACCCGGTCATAGGTATGTTTATACGTCGGACAGTGGTTGGCATACCAATCATCTTATTATGATTTTATACGTGAATCAAACGTTGTCATTGCCATTAGTCTGA